ACTTGCTTTCTGCTGCTGAGGAGCTCCTCCAACCAAAGCAGTCTTTGCTTTGTGTACCTTGCTTGATTTCAACATCCACACAGTGCAACAAAAGCATGAACTGGAAAGATCAGATGGCCCCTTTGGCGTCCACCAAAGCTTTTAGGAGTACGTGCACGTACCGTACTACTGTTGTTATCTTCATGCACGTGCGTCTATTGCCTAGTGCTGTCGTGGTTTAAGCCGGCAGACAGAAAAAACATCCCTCCCTCACTGGCCCCAGGCCAGGAGCCGGGATAAAGGAGGCAAGGTGAGGGTGCGTGGACTCCTGGGGCGGAGGGCCAGACTCAATTTTTTTTTTAATCAGGGAAAGCAAAAGCCCGGCCCGCACAACAAGGAAAACGGGCAACACAATCGCTGCTTCCCATCCGCAGGCAGGCCAATATTCAGCCACATCCAGGAACAGACGGCTCATTGCACGGAACAATCTCTTGGGAAGGCAACAGCATCCATCCCACCTTGACCCAGGCCTCCTGCTTGACACCTCCAGCTTTCCTTGCTGAGCGTGACATCCCGGCCAGTCTGGGCCGCCAGCTGTGTGGCTCTGTCTCCTGGCTGTGGCCGCTGCCAGCTTCTGCTCTGTCCCCTGCCTCCTCACGGGATGAACCGCACGAGAAGCAGAAAAGTCCTTGGCTCTGTGCAAGCACTGTTCTGCAACAGCTACAAACGTGCCTGTCTTAGGCACCCGTGTTCTCGTGAAAAGAATCCAAGCACCAGCACGCGGGAGACTCTGCAAGGCCCAGACCCTCCACCCCAGGCCAAATCACAACACTTATAGTACTGCAGTACTGCAGAGTGTCGGACAGTCTCTGGAGCACCTACTGCTAAGGAAACGCAATAGATGGACTGCCGTGTCTCAGGTGCGTTCCCTAGGTGTCCCTGTGAGCACATTTTGCTGCGCGGGCCTGACCTTGGCCGGCAGCCCCATGCCCACACAGCCACTCTCGCACTCTCTGTCCTCAGTAGGAGAGGGTGAAGAATAAGATGGGAAATCTCCAGCGCAAACACTGACACAGGGAGCTCACTCACCAACCACCTTCCCACGCAAAACAATCTCAACGTGTAGTGAGGGTGTTTATTTTATTGCCAATTGCAAACAGCGCTGGACTGCAAGGTGCATAAAGGTTTTCCACCTCTCCCCCTCTCTCTCGCTCCTTCCCAGGCTCGCTCTCTCTCCTAAATACTCAGTGCCCGGACCTCACCTCTGCACTTGCCTCGGGACCCACAGCCGTCACAGGCGGTCCATCACAGCTCCTCTCCTGACGCTCCTTCCTCCTAACACTTCTCCCCTGCACCCACGCGGGTAAACGCAGCGCTGCTGCTTCCCTCGGGACACATCAGCCTCCTCTGCCATGCTCTCCTCCTCAGGCTGCAGGAGCTGCAGGGGAAGCTCTGCCCCAGCTCCCGGAGCACCCCACCTCCTCCCGCTGCCCCCTCTCTGGCTCCTCCTCCTCCCGTTCCTCATCTTTCTACCACCTCAGCCTGCCCCTCCTCTCGCTCCTCCTCCTGCTCCTCCTCCCCATCCACCTCCTGCTCCTCCTCTGCTCATCTTCACTTTTGCGGGCCCGTTTCGGACACTTTTCCTCCCTCTCTCCCAACTGCCTGACCGTATCTGCTCTCCTCTTGGTGTTCCCATCTGGATACGTGGCCCCGGGGCCCCTCCAACTCACGTGCTGGGCTCACTTTTGCCCGGTGGCAGTGCCACCGCAGACGCATCCAACGCACTGCACCTGCCTTAGGGCTGCCCCGGTTTCTCCTCACAGGCCACCGTCAGCCTCCAGTGACAGCACCTGGGCACCTGCACCCCGTACACGTGCATAGGAAGGAGCACGCGTCTTGTCACATCTGAGCACCTCCTGCTCCACAGGAAGCATCCAAGCGCTCCGAGCCGTTTCGGAGAAAATGACAGCTGCTAAAACAAGGGCTGCTAAGCCAATCACTGAGCGCTCTGGTAACACGTGGCTTACCGAGTGTCACAAAATGGAGGCTCCTCCCTATGGCTTGTGGACTGAAACCAAATGGCGCCCCTGAAGCTTCACGAAATGGCGGCAGCTCACTCTGGAACGCCGACTGAAACAAAATGGCGCCTCCCAGTGTAGGTAGAGGGCAGGGATTTCCGGTCCTGGCCACTCCTGCCAGTGGGCTGGCCCAGTAGCGCTGGCACCTCCCCTTCCGTGCCCTGGCATGCACTCTGCGCAGCGCCGCCAGCTGGTAGCTGGGAAGAGCTGCAGGATGGAGGCGCCGCCTGGCGGAGCACCAGCACCAGCAGCAGCAGCAGCAGCAGCTGCACGATCCACACTGCTCGGCGTCTCACCGGCCAAGCGGTAGGGGGTGCTCGGCTGCCTATTGCGTGCAGCCAGTGTTCCTGAAACTGTGAAGTCAGTGAGGACGAGCACGGCTAGCAGTGAGTTTGGGGAGGGGGTTGGTGGCCCCTTTCTGCTTGGCCAGGAGGGCTGTTCCTGTCCTTAACCGGGACGGTGAGAGAACAAGTGTCCTGCACCCCCTGACTGTGTTTGTGCCATTGCAACTGCTGTGGCCGCGTGTGTCCCGGAGCTTCCTTTTCTCGGCATTACAAGCCCCGTAGCGGGCAAGTAAACCCAGCCGTTGCAAAAACAAATTCAGCTGGGTGAACACTCTAGTGCCCATTTTGTCCACGGGCTGCAAAGTGATGTTTGCAAGCTACGCTTCAGTGTGCCTTAAGCACACTGCAGGAGCCACCGGAGCTTTCAGCACAAAGGCTGGGGCAGGTGTAGCCACCACTTGCTTTCTGCTGCTGAGGAGCTCCTCCAACCAAAGCAGTCTTTGCTTTGTGTACCTTGCTTGATTTCAACATCCACACAGTGCAACAAAAGCATGAACTGGAAAGATCAGATGGCCCCTTTGGCGTCCACCAAAGCTTTTAGGAGTACGTGCACGTACCGTACTACTGTTGTTATCTTCATGCACGTGCGTCTATTGCCTAGTGCTGTTGTGGTTTAAGCCGGCAGACAGAAAAAACATCCCTCCCTCACTGGCCCCAGGCCAGGAGCCGGGATAAAGGAGGCAAGGTGAGGGTGCGTGGACTCCTGGGGCGGAGGGCCAGACTCAATTTTTTTTTTAATCAGGGAAAGCAAAAGCCCGGCCCGCACAACAAGGAAAACGGGCAACACAATCGCTGCTTCCCATCCGCAGGCAGGCCAATATTCAGCCACATCCAGGAACAGACGGCTCATTGCACGGAACAATCTCTTGGGAAGGCAACAGCATCCATCCCACCTTGACCCAGGCCTCCTGCTTGACACCTCCAGCTTTCCTTGCTGAGCGTGACATCCCGGCCAGTCTGGGCCGCCAGCTGTGTGGCTCTGTCTCCTGGCTGTGGCCGCTGCCAGCTTCTGCTCTGTCCCCTGCCTCCTCACGGGATGAACCGCACGAGAAGCAGAAAAGTCCTTGGCTCTGTGCAAGCACTGTTCTGCAACAGCTACAAACGTGCCTGTCTTAGGCACCCGTGTTCTCGTGAAAAGAATCCAAGCACCAGCACGCGGGAGACTCTGCAAGGCCCAGACCCTCCACCCCAGGCCAAATCACAACACTTATAGTACTGCAGTACTGCAGAGTGTCGGACAGTCTCTGGAGCACCTACTGCTAAGGAAACGCAATAGATGGACTGCCGTGTCTCAGGTGCGTTCCCTAGGTGTCCCTGTGAGCACATTTTGCTGCGCGGGCCTGACCTTGGCCGGCAGCCCCATGCCCACACAGCCACTCTCGCACTCTCTGTCCTCAGTAGGAGAGGGTGAAGAATAAGATGGGAAATCTCCAGCGCAAACACTGACACAGGGAGCTCACTCACCAACCACCTTCCCACGCAAAACAATCTCAACGTGTAGTGAGGGTGTTTATTTTATTGCCAATTGCAAACAGCGCTGGACTGCAAGGTGCATAAAGGTTTTCCACCTCTCCCCCTCTCTCTCGCTCCTTCCCAGGCTCGCTCTCTCTCCTAAATACTCAGTGCCCGGACCTCACCTCTGCACTTGCCTCGGGACCCACAGCCGTCACAGGCGGTCCATCACAGCTCCTCTCCTGACGCTCCTTCCTCCTAACACTTCTCCCCTGCACCCACGCGGGTAAACGCAGCGCTGCTGCTTCCCTCGGGACACATCAGCCTCCTCTGCCATGCTCTCCTCCTCAGGCTGCAGGAGCTGCAGGGGAAGCTCTGCCCCAGCTCCCGGAGCACCCCACCTCCTCCCGCTGCCCCCTCTCTGGCTCCTCCTCCTCCCGTTCCTCATCTTTCTACCACCTCAGCCTGCCCCTCCTCTCGCTCCTCCTCCTGCTCCTCCTCCCCATCCACCTCCTGCTCCTCCTCTGCTCATCTTCACTTTTGCGGGCCCGTTTCGGACACTTTTCCTCCCTCTCTCCCAACTGCCTGACCGTATCTGCTCTCCTCTTGGTGTTCCCATCTGGATACGTGGCCCCGGGGCCCCTCCAACTCACGTGCTGGGCTCACTTTTGCCCGGTGGCAGTGCCACCGCAGACGCATCCAACGCACTGCACCTGCCTTAGGGCTGCCCCGGTTTCTCCTCACAGGCCACCGTCAGCCTCCAGTGACAGCACCTGGGCACCTGCACCCCGTACACGTGCATAGGAAGGAGCACGCGTCTTGTCACATCTGAGCACCTCCTGCTCCACAGGAAGCATCCAAGCGCTCCGAGCCGTTTCGGAGAAAATGACAGCTGCTAAAACAAGGGCTGCTAAGCCAATCACTGAGCGCTCTGGTAACACGTGGCTTACCGAGTGTCACAAAATGGAGGCTCCTCCCTATGGCTTGTGGACTGAAACCAAATGGCGCCCCTGAAGCTTCACGAAATGGCGGCAGCTCACTCTGGAACGCCGACTGAAACAAAATGGCGCCTCCCAGTGTAGGTAGAGGGCAGGGATTTCCGGTCCTGGCCACTCCTGCCAGTGGGCTGGCCCAGTAGCGCTGGCACCTCCCCTTCCGTGCCCTGGCATGCACTCTGCGCAGCGCCGCCAGCTGGTAGCTGGGAAGAGCTGCAGGATGGAGGCGCCGCCTGGCGGAGCACCAGCACCAGCAGCAGCAGCAGCAGCAGCTGCACGATCCACACTGCTCGGCGTCTCACCGGCCAAGCGGTAGGGGGTGCTCGGCTGCCTATTGCGTGCAGCCAGTGTTCCTGAAACTGTGAAGTCAGTGAGGACGAGCACGGCTAGCAGTGAGTTTGGGGAGGGGGTTGGTGGCCCCTTTCTGCTTGGCCAGGAGGGCTGTTCCTGTCCTTAACCGGGACGGTGAGAGAACAAGTGTCCTGCACCCCCTGACTGTGTTTGTGCCATTGCAACTGCTGTGGCCGCGTGTGTCCCGGAGCTTCCTTTTCTCGGCATTACAAGCCCCGTAGCGGGCAAGTAAACCCAGCCGTTGCAAAAACAAATTCAGCTGGGTGAACACTCTAGTGCCCATTTTGTCCACGGGCTGCAAAGTGATGTTTGCAAGCTACGCTTCAGTGTGCCTTAAGCACACTGCAGGAGCCACCGGAGCTTTCAGCACAAAGGCTGGGGCAGGTGTAGCCACCACTTGCTTTCTGCTGCTGAGGAGCTCCTCCAACCAAAGCAGTCTTTGCTTTGTGTACCTTGCTTGATTTCAACATCCACACAGTGCAACAAAAGCATGAACTGGAAAGATCAGATGGCCCCTTTGGCGTCCACCAAAGCTTTTAGGAGTACGTGCACGTACCGTACTACTGTTGTTATCTTCATGCACGTGCGTCTATTGCCTAGTGCTGTCGTGGTTTAAGCCGGCAGACAGAAAAAACATCCCTCCCTCACTGGCCCCAGGCCAGGAGCCGGGATAAAGGAGGCAAGGTGAGGGTGCGTGGACTCCTGGGGCGGAGGGCCAGACTCAATTTTTTTTTTAATCAGGGAAAGCAAAAGCCCGGCCCGCACAACAAGGAAAACGGGCAACACAATCGCTGCTTCCCATCCGCAGGCAGGCCAATATTCAGCCACATCCAGGAACAGACGGCTCATTGCACGGAACAATCTCTTGGGAAGGCAACAGCATCCATCCCACCTTGACCCAGGCCTCCTGCTTGACACCTCCAGCTTTCCTTGCTGAGCGTGACATCCCGGCCAGTCTGGGCCGCCAGCTGTGTGGCTCTGTCTCCTGGCTGTGGCCGCTGCCAGCTTCTGCTCTGTCCCCTGCCTCCTCACGGGATGAACCGCACGAGAAGCAGAAAAGTCCTTGGCTCTGTGCAAGCACTGTTCTGCAACAGCTACAAACGTGCCTGTCTTAGGCACCCGTGTTCTCGTGAAAAGAATCCAAGCACCAGCACGCGGGAGACTCTGCAAGGCCCAGACCCTCCACCCCAGGCCAAATCACAACACTTATAGTACTGCAGTACTGCAGAGTGTCGGACAGTCTCTGGAGCACCTACTGCTAAGGAAACGCAATAGATGGACTGCCGTGTCTCAGGTGCGTTCCCTAGGTGTCCCTGTGAGCACATTTTGCTGCGCGGGCCTGACCTTGGCCGGCAGCCCCATGCCCACACAGCCACTCTCGCACTCTCTGTCCTCAGTAGGAGAGGGTGAAGAATAAGACGGGAAATCTCCAGCGCAAACACTGACACAGGGAGCTCACTCACCAACCACCTTCCCACGCAAAACAATCTCAACGTGTAGTGAGGGTGTTTATTTTATTGCCAATTGCAAACAGCGCTGGACTGCAAGGTGCATAAAGGTTTTCCACCTCTCCCCCTCTCTCTCGCTCCTTCCCAGGCTCGCTCTCTCTCCTAAATACTCAGTGCCCGGACCTCACCTCTGCACTTGCCTCGGGACCCACAGCCGTCACAGGCGGTCCATCACAGCTCCTCTCCTGACGCTCCTTCCTCCTAACACTTCTCCCCTGCACCCACGCGGGTAAACGCAGCGCTGCTGCTTCCCTCGGGACACATCAGCCTCCTCTGCCATGCTCTCCTCCTCAGGCTGCAGGAGCTGCAGGGGAAGCTCTGCCCCAGCTCCCGGAGCACCCCACCTCCTCCCGCTGCCCCCTCTCTGGCTCCTCCTCCTCCCGTTCCTCATCTTTCTACCACCTCAGCCTGCCCCTCCTCTCGCTCCTCCTCCTGCTCCTCCTCCCCATCCACCTCCTGCTCCTCCTCTGCTCATCTTCACTTTTGCGGGCCCGTTTCGGACACTTTTCCTCCCTCTCTCCCAACTGCCTGACCGTATCTGCTCTCCTCTTGGTGTTCCCATCTGGATACGTGGCCCCGGGGCCCCTCCAACTCACGTGCTGGGCTCACTTTTGCCCGGTGGCAGTGCCACCGCAGACGCATCCAACGCACTGCACCTGCCTTAGGGCTGCCCCGGTTTCTCCTCACAGGCCACCGTCAGCCTCCAGTGACAGCACCTGGGCACCTGCACCCCGTACACGTGCCTAGGAAGGAGCACGCGTCTTGTCACATCTGAGCACCTCCTGCTCCACAGGAAGCATCCAAGCGCTCCGAGCCGTTTCGGAGAAAATGACAGCTGCTAAAACAAGGGCTGCTAAGCCAATCACTGAGCGCTCTGGTAACACGTGGCTTACCGAGTGTCACAAAATGGAGGCTCCTCCCTATGGCTTGTGGACTGAAACCAAATGGCGCCCCTGAAGCTTCACGAAATGGCGGCAGCTCACTCTGGAACGCCGACTGAAACAAAATGGCGCCTCCCAGTGTAGGTAGAGGGCAGGGATTTCCGGTCCTGGCCACTCCTGCCAGTGGGCTGGCCCAGTAGCGCTGGCACCTCCCCTTCCGTGCCCTGGCATGCACTCTGCGCAGCGCCGCCAGCTGGTAGCTGGGAAGAGCTGCAGGATGGAGGCGCCGCCTGGCGGAGCACCAGCACCAGCAGCAGCAGCAGCAGCAGCTGCACGATCCACACTGCTCGGCGTCTCACCGGCCAAGCGGTAGGGGGTGCTCGGCTGCCTATTGCGTGCAGCCAGTGTTCCTGAAACTGTGAAGTCAGTGAGGACGAGCACGGCTAGCAGTGAGTTTGGGGAGGGGGTTGGTGGCCTCTTTCTGCTTGGCCAGGAGGGCTGTTCCTGTCCTTAACCGGGACGGTGAGAGAACAAGTGTCCTGCACCCCCTGACTGTGTTTGTGCCATTGCAACTGCTGTGGCCGCGTGTGTCCCGGAGCTTCCTTTTCTCGGCATTACAAGCCCCGTAGCGGGCAAGTAAACCCAGCCGTTGCAAAAACAAATTCAGCTGGGTGAACACTCTAGTGCCCATTTTGTCCACGGGCTGCAAAGTGATGTTTGCAAGCTACGCTTCAGTGTGCCTTAAGCACACTGCAGGAGCCACCGGAGCTTTCAGCACAAAGGCTGGGGCAGGTGTAGCCACCACTTGCTTTCTGCTGCTGAGGAGCTCCTCCAACCAAAGCAGTCTTTGCTTTGTGTACCTTGCTTGATTTCAACATCCACACAGTGCAACAAAAGCATGAACTGGAAAGATCAGATGGCCCCTTTGGCGTCCACCAAAGCTTTTAGGAGTACGTGCACGTACCGTACTACTGTTGTTATCTTCATGCACGTGCGTCTATTGCCTAGTGCTGTCGTGGTTTAAGCCGGCAGACAGAAAAAACATCCCTCCCTCACTGGCCCCAGGCCAGGAGCCGGGATAAAGGAGGCAAGGTGAGGGTGCGTGGACTCCTGGGGCGGAGGGCCAGACTCAATTTTTTTTTTAATCAGGGAAAGCAAAAGCCCGGCCCGCACAACAAGGAAAACGGGCAACACAATCGCTGCTTCCCATCCGCAGGCAGGCCAATATTCAGCCACATCCAGGAACAGACGGCTCATTGCACGGAACAATCTCTTGGGAAGGCAACAGCATCCATCCCACCTTGACCCAGGCCTCCTGCTTGACACCTCCAGCTTTCCTTGCTGAGCGTGACATCCCGGCCAGTCTGGGCCGCCAGCTGTGTGGCTCTGTCTCCTGGCTGTGGCCGCTGCCAGCTTCTGCTCTGTCCCCTGCCTCCTCACGGGATGAACCGCACGAGAAGCAGAAAAGTCCTTGGCTCTGTGCAAGCACTGTTCTGCAACAGCTACAAACGTGCCTGTCTTAGGCACCCGTGTTCTCGTGAAAAGAATCCAAGCACCAGCACGCGGGAGACTCTGCAAGGCCCAGACCCTCCACCCCAGGCCAAATCACAACACTTATAGTACTGCAGTACTGCAGAGTGTCGGACAGTCTCTGGAGCACCTACTGCTAAGGAAACGCAATAGATGGACTGCCGTGTCTCAGGTGCGTTCCCTAGGTGTCCCTGTGAGCACATTTTGCTGCGCGGGCCTGACCTTGGCCGGCAGCCCCATGCCCACACAGCCACTCTCGCACTCTCTGTCCTCAGTAGGAGAGGGTGAAGAATAAGATGGGAAATCTCCAGCGCAAACACTGACACAGGGAGCTCACTCACCAACCACCTTCCCACGCAAAACAATCTCAACGTGTAGTGAGGGCGTTCATTTTATTGCTAAATGGCAAACAGCGCTGGACTGCAAGGTGCATAAAGGTTTTCCACCTCTCCCCCTCTCTCTCGCTCCTTCCCAGGCTCGCTCTCTCTCCTAAATACTCAGTGCCCGGACCTCACCTCTGCACTTGCCTCGGGACCCACAGCCGTCACAGGCGGTCCATCACAGCTCCTCTCCTGACGCTCCTTCCTCCTAACACTTCTCCCCTGCACCCACGCGGGTAAACGCAGCGCTGCTGCTTCCCTCGGGACACATCAGCCTCCTCTGCCATGCTCTCCTCCTCAGGCTGCAGGAGCTGCAGGGGAAGCTCTGCCCCAGCTCCCGGAGCACCCCACCTCCTCCCGCTGCCCCCTCTCTGGCTCCTCCTCCTCCCGTTCCTCATCTTTCTACCACCTCAGCCTGCCCCTCCTCTCGCTCCTCCTCCTGCTCCTCCTCCCCATCCACCTCCTGCTCCTCCTCTGCTCATCTTCACTTTTGCGGGCCCGTTTCGGACACTTTTCCTCCCTCTCTCCCAACTGCCTGACCGTATCTGCTCTCCTCTTGGTGTTCCCATCTGGATACGTGGCCCCGGGGCCCCTCCAACTCACGTGCTGGGCTCACTTTTGCCCGGTGGCAGTGCCACCGCAGACGCATCCAACGCACTGCACCTGCCTTAGGGCTGCCCCGGTTTCTCCTCACAGGCCACCGTCAGCCTCCAGTGACAGCACCTGGGCACCTGCACCCCGTACACGTGCATAGGAAGGAGCACGCGTCTTGTCACATCTGAGCACCTCCTGCTCCACAGGAAGCATCCAAGCGCTCCGAGCCGTTTCGGAGAAAATGACAGCTGCTAAAACAAGGGCTGCTAAGCCAATCACTGAGCGCTCTGGTAACACGTGGCTTACCGAGTGTCACAAAATGGAGGCTCCTCCCTATGGCTTGTGGACTGAAACCAAATGGCGCCCCTGAAGCTTCACGAAATGGCGGCAGCTCACTCTGGAACGCCGACTGAAACAAAATGGCGCCTCCCAGTGTAGGTAGAGGGCAGGGATTTCCGGTCCTGGCCACTCCTGCCAGTGGGCTGGCCCAGTAGCGCTGGCACCTCCCCTTCCGTGCCCTGGCATGCACTCTGCGCAGCGCCGCAGGCTGGTAGCTGGGAAGAGCTGCAGGATGGAGGCGCCGCCTGGCGGAGCACCAGCACCAGCAGCAGCAGCAGCAGCAGCTGCACGATCCGCACACACCGCTCGGCGTCTCACCGGCCAAGCGGTAGGGGGTGCTCGGCTGCCTATTGCGTGCAGCCAGTGTTCCTGAAACTGTGAAGTCAGTGAGGACGAGCACGGCTAGCAGTGATTTTGGGGAGGGGGTTGGTGGCCCCTTTCTGCTTGGCCAGGAGGGCTGTTCTTGTCCTTAACCGGGACGGTGAGAGAACAAGTGTCCTGCACCCCCTGACTGTGTTTGTGCCATTGCAACTGCTGTGGCCGCGTGTGTCCCGGAGCTTCCTTTTCTCGGCATTACAAGCCCCGTAGCGGGCAAGTAAACCCAGCCGTTGCAAAAACAAATTCAGCTGGGTGAACACTCTAGTGCCCATTTTGTCCACGGGCTGCAAAGTGATGTTTGCAAGCTACGCTTCAGTGTGCCTTAAGCACACTGCAGGAGCCACCGGAGCTTTCAGCACAAAGGCTGGGGCAGGTGTAGCCACCACTTGCTTTCTGCTGCTGAGGAGCTCCTCCAACCAAAGCAGTCTTTGCTTTGTGTACCTTGCTTGATTTCAACATCCACACAGTGCAACAAAAGCATGAACTGGAAAGATCAGATGGCCCCTTTGGCGTCCACCAAAGCTTTTAGGAGTACGTGCACGTACCGTACTACTGTTGTTATCTTCATGCACGTGCGTCTATTGCCTAGTGCTGTTGTGGTTTAAGCCGGCAGACAGAAAAAACATCCCTCCCTCACTGGCCCCAGGCCAGGAGCCGGGATAAAGGAGGCAAGGTGAGGGTGCGTGGACTCCTGGGGCGGAGGGCCAGACTCAATTTTTTTTATCAGGGAAAGCAAAAGCCCGGCCCGCACAACAAGGAAAACGGGCAACACAATCGCTGCTTCCCATCCGCAGGCAGGCCAATATTCAGCCACATCCAGGAACAGACGGCTCATTGCACGGAACAATCTCTTGGGAAGGCAACAGCATCCATCTCACCTTGACCCAGGCCTCCTGCTTGACACCTCCAGCTTTCCTTGCTGAGCGTGACATCCCGGCCAGTCTGGGCCGCCAGCTGTGTGGCTCTGTCTCCTGGCTGTGGCCGCTGCCAGCTTCTGCTCTGTCCCCTGCCTCCTCACGGGATGAACCGCACGAGAAGCAGAAAAGTCCTTGGCTCTGTGCAAGCACTGTTCTGCAACAGCTACAAACGTGCCTGTCTTAGGCACCCGTGTTCTCGTGAAAAGAATCCAAGCACCAGCACGCGGGAGACTCTGCAAGGCCCAGACCCTCCACCCCAGGCCAAATCACAACACTTATAGTACTGCAGTACTGCAGAGTGTCGGACAGTCTCTGGAGCACCTACTGCTAAGGAAACGCAATAGATGGACTGCCGTGTCTCAGGTGCGTTCCCTAGGTGTCCCTGTGAGCACATTTTGCTGCGCGGGCCTGACCTTGGCCGGCAGCCCCATGCCCACACAGCCACTCTCGCACTCTCTGTCCTCAGTAGGAGAGGGTGAAGAATAAGATGGGAAATCTCCAGCGCAAACACTGACACAGGGAGCTCACTCACCAACCACCTTCCCACGCAAAACAATCTCAACGTGTAGTGAGGGCGTTCATTTTATTGCTAAATGGCAAACAGCGCTGGACTGCAAGGTGCATAAAGGTTTTCCACCTCTCCCCCTCTCTCTCGCTCCTTCCCAGGCTCGCTCTCTCTCCTAAATACTCAGTGCCCGGACCTCACCTCTGCACTTGCCTCGGGACCCACAGCCGTCACAGGCGGTCCGTCACAGGTCCTCTCCTGACGCTCCTTCCTCCTAACACTTCTCCCCTGCACCCACACGGGTAAACGCAGCGCTGCTGCTTCCCTCGGGACACATCAGCCTCCTCTGCCATGCTCTCCTCCTCAGGCTGCAGGAGCTGCAGGGGAAGCTCTGCCCCAGCTCCCGGAGCACCCCACCTCCTCCCGCTGCCCCCTCTCTGGCTCCTCCTCCTCCCGTTCCTCATCTTTCTACCATCTCAGCCTTCCTCTGCTCATTCTTCTCGTCCTACTTCTCCTCTGCTATACCTTTTTACTCTTGTGAGTTATAGTCATTCTGTTAATTATGCTACTTACTTCCTTTTTTAATTATTTTTATTTTTTATCTTTTTCTTTTTTCGTTTTTTGCTTGAAATTCTTTTTTCTTCGTGGATTTTTGATCTTTTATTTACTGCTTTTTATTCCTTTTTTTTATATCTAATTGTGAGATATAAACTTCTGTTTTTTATCTTTTTTGTCTTGTTTTCTATTTTTTTTCATTTTTTTATGCATATTTTATGTCTTTGTTTCTGTATTTCCTTTTCCGCTATGTTTTTTTTTTCCGCTACTGTCACTGTCACATCTGTTATATGCTGTCCTTTCCTCATTTTTTTATCATCCACTTTTTTTCTCCTGAAATTTACATTCATTTTCTGTGAATGTGGTTTTGTTTGTTTGTTTGTTTGTTTGTTTGTTTGTTTGTTTTGTGCATTTTATTATTCATTACACATCCTTGCTTTGTTTGCACTTTTTTTTTCTTGTCGCATTTTGTCAGGCTTCTCTCTTCTGCCATTTGTCTTACATTTGTAAATTGCTGATATTAGTGGGGTAGTTCAGTTTCAGCTGTCATACTGCCACCTTCCTCTAATGTCATTGTTCAACATAATATAAAATGGGACATTGCCTTCCTTTAGGTCTCACTTTCTGTGGTGTTTCGCTCCAGGGACAATCATTTTCTGAGGTGATCATCTCCCGTGAAGGAGCATTCTACTTTCAAGTGTGGAATCACTATCTTTGACGTATGTCTTGAAATGGAAAAGGCCCCAGAGCTCTCTGTCCTGAGAAGAGTTTCCAATGCAACATGGGTAGGGCCAAGAGCAGCAGCAAGATATTTAAATGTGACATGTTCTCATGAAAGGGAGTGCAAGAAGTGGGAGGATCCTTCAGATTTAGGTGGTAAATTCAACAGTGATTGTCACCCACTAAGTACTGAATCATCATCCTCTAAATACAGGATTATCTCCCTTTGTGAGTATAGACCCTATTCATGGCATCCACTCAATGGAGATCTGAGGCATCTGCATTCATTTGAAAGGATGCTGAAAACCAGTCCAAATTCCCTGGCAAAATAGAGCTGTCCAGATTTTTGGCAGCAAAGTGATGGAGTCTTCCACTAGCATCACCTAACAGCAGCAAGAACAGTTGTGTGAGGTGTGAGCAGTCAGATGACCTACTCAGACTGTTGGTGAGACTACAGGATTAAAACAAAGCAAAACAAAACAAAACAAAACAAAACAGTCAAACCTGCCTTTGGCAGGGTCTCAAACCACTAGACTCCAACCACACAGGATGTCCAGAGCTATGTCTAGTCTGGCCTTGGATGCCACCAGGGGTGGGATATCCACAACATTCTGGGCAACCTGTTCCAGTGCGTCACCACTCTTCAGATGAAAAACTTCTTCCTAATATCCAACCTAGACCTCCCCGTCTTAGTTTAAAACAATTCCCCCTTGTCCTATCACTATCAGCCCGTGTCAACAGTTGTTCCCTCTCTTGTTATATGCTCCGTTCAAGTACTAGAAGGGCACAATGAGGTCTCCCCAGAGCCTTCTCTTCTCCTAGCTAAACAATCCCAGTTCCCTCGACCTTTCCTCATAGGAGAGGTGCTTCAGCCTTCTGATCATCTTAGTGGCCCTCCTCTGGACAGACGTGCTCCAAGAGATCAACATTCTTCTTGTGCTGGAGGCCCCAGGCACTACTCCAGATGGGATCTCACAAAATTGTCCCCTGAGTAGAGGGAGACGATCAGCTCCCTCTCTCTGCTGGCCACTACTTTTTTAAAGCAGTCGAGGATATAGTTGGCTTTCCAGGCTGTAAGTGCACACTTTTGGCCTACACTGCTATCCAGTTTCTTGTCCACCAGGATCCCCAAGTCTTTATCTGCAGGTCTGCTCTCAAGAAGTTCTTCCAGTTTATATGAATACTTGAGATTGCCCTGTCCCATGTGCAACACCCTGCACTTGGCCTTGTTGAATTTCATTAGATTCTCATGGGCCCTGTTCTCCAGCCTGTCCAGATCCCTTTGGACTGCTTCCCTTCCCTACAAGTGCATCAACTGCACCACTCAGCTTGCTGCAAACTTGCTGAAGGTGCACTTGATTCTATTGTTTATGTCACTGATAAAAGATGTTGAAAAGCACAAGTCCCAAGACCGAGCCTTGGGTGAAACCACTCATGATCAGCCTCCACCCTGACACAGAACCATCAATCACAGCCCTTTGGCTTTACCCAGCCAATCAATTCCTAATCCATCGAACAGTCTTTCAAATCCATATCTCTCCTAATTAGTGAGAAGGGTGTGGTGAGGGACTATGTCAAAGGCTTTGCAGAAGTCCAGGTAGATGACGTCCATTACCCTTCCCCTGTCCACTGATGCCGTCACTCCATCATAGAAGGCCACCAAATTTGTCAGGCAAGATCTGCACTTGGTGAAGCCATGATGGCTGTCTCAGCTCACTTCTTCATCTGTATGTGCCTTAACATAGTAACCAGAAGCATCTGCTCCATGATCTTCCCAGGCCAGGCGAGGCTCCCTGGCCTGTAGTTCCCAGGTCATCCTTTCTCCCTTTCTTAAAAATGGGATCAGTGTTTTCCTTTCTCACCAATTCAAGTGAACTGGTAACATTAAGAATGGAGATTGCCTGAGCCATAACAACCATACAACGATAGAGTTTACACTCCTCAGTTACATGAGACAAAGAGGAAAATCAGGTTGATAAATTCTAGCAAGGACAACTTCCACCTCATCAGGGAGATACTCAATATAGCTCCCTGGGAAACTGTCTTCAAGGACAAAAACTACAGGCCTGTAATTCCTTGGATCCTCTTTCCAGCCCTTCATGTAAATGATGTCACTTTAGCAAGTATCCAGTTGCCTGGGTTGTCCCTGCTAGACTAGGACTACTTCCGAATGACAGAAAGCAGCTTGGCAATCACTTCTGCAAACTCTGGGGTGGATGTCTTCCAGTCTTATGGATGTTACTGTCCAGGTGGAGTAGTAGGTCACTAAGTGTTTCCTCCTGAATGGTGGGTGTTATATTCTGCTCCTCATTCCAGTCTGCCAGGGAGTTGAGTCCCCTGAAGCTAACTGGCCTGACTATAAAAAGTACAAGTCAAGAAGTCATTGAGAGCCTCAGCTTTTCCATCATCTTTGGAGATGATGTTCCCTGCTGCATCTCTTAAAGGACACAAATTCTCCTTGGCCTTCCTCTTGCTGTTAATATATTTGTAAAAGCATTTTTTTACTATTAACAATGAAGGCCAGATTAAGTTCTTGCTGGGCTTTTGCTTTTCTGATTTCTCTCTGCTTACCTCAAGGACATTCTTCTACTCTTCCTGAGTTGCCTGACTCTTCTTACAAATATCATGAATTCTCCTTTTTTGACAGTGTCTCAGCAAAAACTTCCTGTTCAGTCAGGCTGGTTCTATTCCCTGATCATCATATAGCACAGTCAGACAGAGTGTTTTTGTGTCTTTAAGGTTGCTTTCCTGAGGAAAGCCTAGGTTTCCTGGGCCTCACTGCACTCAGAACTGACTTCCAACGAATTCTGCCAACCAGTGATCTATACAGTTCAAAGTTTAACCTCATGGAAGTTCAGAGTAGGAGTTTTGCTGACTCCTCTCCTAATCTCACCAAAGATGGAAAAGAGAACTCTACTATTTCATGTTTGCTATGCCCAAGACAGCTTTCAGCAACCACATTTTCCAAGCTTCCTTCTCTGTCTGTAAACAGCAAGTCTTAAGGAGTACCTTCCCTTGTAAGCTGTCTTACTAGCTGTGTCAGGAGGTTATCTTCCATACACTCCAGGAACCTCCTAGACTGCTTCTTCTCTGCTGTACTGTAACTCCAGCAGGCATCAAATAAGTTGAAGTCCCCCCTGAGAACAAGGGAGGACAACTGCAGGACTGATGCCAGTTGTTTGAACATTTCATCTATCTCTTCATCCTGCTTAGGTGGTTTGTAACAGACTCTCACAAAAATATCAGCATCATTGGCCTTTTCCCTGATACTTACTCATAAGGTTAGCATTATCATTCCAAATATTGGGTTCCACAACATCAAAATACCTCCTAATATAGACTACCATCCCACTACTCCTCTTGCCATCTTGGGAGTGTTGATCTGCCTGAGGGTAGAGAGGCCCTTTCAGAGGGATCTGGATAAGCTGGATCACTGGGCTGAGGTGAATGAGATGAGGTTCAACAAAGCCAAGTGCCAGGTCCTGCACTTTGGCTACAATAACCCCATGTACCAATATAGGCTTCAGGCTGAGTGGCTGGATGACTGTGAAGACGAAAGGAACCTAGGGGTGTTGGTTGATGCTCGGCTGAACATGAGCCAACAGTGAGCCCAGGTGGCCAAGAGGGCCAATGGCATTTCTGGTCTGCATCAGAAATAGTGTGGTCAGCAGGAGAAGGGAGGTAATCATCCCTCTGTACTCAGCACTGCTGAGGCTGCACCTTGAGTACTGTGTTCAGCTTTGGGCCCCTCACTATGAAAAAGACATTGAGTCCCTGGAATGTGTCCAGAGAAGAGCAACTAAACCAGTGAGGGATCTTACGAGTCTCTCTTATGAGGAGCTCTTTGTCCTCAACAGGATTGAGTGGACAATAAGTCTGGAAATCTTGTGGGGTAAAGTTTGGACAAGGAGCTCACTTACCAATCAGTATCACAGGTAAAAAGTCTAAATGTGGACTAAACTTTTTTTTTTTAATTTTTTTTTTTTCCAAATTAGAAATAGACTTGGATTGTGACAAGTGCTCTTTCCACATCACTTCCTCATCCCTTTTCCCAGCTGCAGCCTTGCTCCTTCATTGATGATTCCCTGATCTGCTCACAGCCCAAGTGGTGTAGGGATCAGGGCTGTAGCACTCTTTCACAGCTCTTCTCTGCTGTTCTTTCATCCTCACACTTTTCCCCTGCTAACATACGAGCTCCCTGTGGGCTGCAGTTTCC